GGTGGTGCCCTGGTTGATAGCAAGCTTGACTATTTTCAATGAACTTGTCCCATATTTCCGAAACCAAGGCAAACTTATTTGTTTGTAAGTGCCTACTTCTTCGGTTCTTTTGTCAAAACGAATAAATTGTAGGATTTGCTTGAACTTTTCTCTGGCCATAGTTTTTCTAAAAAATTCGGGACTCTACTTTGCTGACCATAAGTAACTGAGTTTTAAATTTTTTGCCTCGTAGGCTCCACGAGCATATAAAATCCCAATAAATGCACGTATTTCCGGTAATGTTGTTGTCCAGTCGTTCCTCAAAATTCGGCGGCCTTCTTCTTCTGTGCACTTTTTTTAAAATTTCCCGCAAGCAGTCAAAATGACTGCTTTCGGGCAATATAGGTATAACACACATATATATATATACCGGAAATGAAGGAGGGGGAGGTAACTACAATTATTAATAAATGCATTTATATGTTGTATAAAAAGTCACAAAATTCTAAGAAATTCTGTCATTATATATATCATTGTTTTTCTAATTGAAATTAAAAAGCAGTCAAAATGACTTCCTTGGGCAATCTAGTGTTAAAAAAGAAAACTGGCTTGAAATTCTACTTAAAAAGGGCTACATTTCTCTGGAACTGAGGTTCAGGAGCTGTGAGGTTTCAGAAGGTCCTTGGGCAACATACCAAAGGGCCAAACCCCTTTTATTTGTGGCTAATGGTTGGGCCAAAGTTCAAGGGCCTGCATTCAGGATCTGTTTGGATTTAAAATGGCACAAGTAATTTACTATTAACTAAAGGCCCGGTGTATGGATTTGTGCACTGGTGGGGTCCCTCAGCCTGGCATGTGCCTTCTCGCAATCCAGGACCTGTCAGGGGATGTTGGACTGCTGGTTTCAGCCCGATCCCTGCAGGCCGGGCCGAAATTGGCAGTCTGACATCCCCCAAGGGATGTAGCAGTGCTTGAAGCAACAGGCAACCAGGGAGGAGCCCGAGCCAGGGCTGGGTGCCACTCCCGCTCATCCAGCCCCTGCTACACTTGCTGCTGCCCCTACTCGGTAGTGCTGCCACGGAGGTAGGAGAGGCTTGTGCCACTGCAGCAGCAGCGCTCGCCAGCTGTGAGCCTGGTGTCTGGTGCTTGTAGGTCAGCTGAGCATCACTCCCGCTGTGGGAGCACACTGACCACCAGAGGGCAGTTCCTGCATTGAGTATCTGCCTCCTGGTGGTCAGTGCTTGTCATAGCTACCGGTCGGATGGTCACTTAGCCTTTTATATATAGAGATGTATATCCTATATAATAAAAGCTTAGGTGGCATCGCATGTGACATCATCACAAATGGCTGTCACAAGTTGGCCACCACAAGATGGCTGCCCCCATGTCATCACAAGATGGCCGCCACAAGATGGCCAACAGGGGAGGGCAGTTGGGGGCGACCAGGTTAGCAGGGGAGGGTAGTTGGAGGTATATATATATATATGGAAAGGAAAGAAAAGCTCATCTCACCTGCAAATTTCTGTCAATGCACCAGTTCGTTTCAAAATCATCATCATCTTCTCCAAAAGGGTTGATGAGCTGCTCAGCCACCTGCAGTAAGAACACAGACCAAGTCAGCCACAATGCTGTGAGGACTCAGAGTGAAGGTTGAAGAGGATGCCTGTTTCACACTCTGCTTTCTGTTGTCCCTCCCATCAGATGAAGCTTAGAGGGGAGTGGGTGGTTGTATAGATGCAGGTATTTACCAACAAACGAGACCCGACTCTCAGACCCGGAATGACGCACCTGCACGGGCAGGTTCTCAGTGGATCTATTTAGCCAGTGGCACTGCAGGCCTGTGCAGAGAAGCCATGGGCTGTTAGAAGGCCTGTCATCGATTTTTAGGTACAAATCAAACCACTGACTACGGAAGGAGCCCTGACAGTGTGCAAGGCACTGCACCAGGCACTTTGAGGGGTGCACAGCCTGTGATCTTAAGGAATTTATGAAGGACCAAGTGTTGAGACAAAATGTAAACATGGGGAAGGTTCAAACAGCAGAGAAAGACAAATCACAATGAACAAAAATAGTACAAGGAGCTTTATAATTATTGGACATAACTGTTAAATGAATGAGTCCAAGAGCTAGTAAGTCATAACGCTGGAATTTGTCTTACTTAGTTTTACCCTAAAGGATTTAGTGAGTTAGTTTTCCCACTGGGAACAGTTTAGGAGCTTCTTATATATCTTACAATAGTTGGTCAATATTATACATTCTTACCATGCTCCTGAATTGAATAGCCTTCTTGATGAGAGATTTAGATGCCAAATATGATTCATCTGTTACTCATTTTTGAGTAATTCCCTTTGATTTTTATTATCTGGGTGTGTGAGTGATTTTTCATTGGGCCTAAATGGGAAAAATTTACAAGTGTATAAAATAAAGGCACCATTGATTAGTAGTTTCTAGATTCTGAGACTATTTGGTAGAAAATCTACCTACTTATTTTTTAGGATTTAAGTCTAACCACTTAGAGCAGTTGTTGTCAGCCTTGGCTGAACATCAAAATCACCTGGGGAGCTTTTAAATGAGTGATGCCTGGGTCCCCTCCCCCCAAAATTCTCATTTAATGGGTGAGAGGTTGAACCCAGGCCTCAGTGTTGGGTAAAGCCCCCAAGGCTCCAGTTCCAGCAAATAACTGAATAATATACTGTTCATAAGGTTAGATGAATTTTCTACACTGTGAAAAGAGTGATAAGTATTAGAATGGTGTAGATAAAACAGCTGTTTAGAAATTGAGATACAATCTGTGGTGAGAAAACTCACTTCTCTTAGGGCTGCCTCTCTCTTAATGGAGCTAAGATTGGCTTTTCATATGTATATGTATTTTAAAATAAAGAATCAATTCTTTTTTAAAAATATACTTTCATTGATTTCAGAGAGGATGGGAGAGGGAGAGAGAGAGATAGAAACATCAATGATGAGAGAGAATCATTGATCGACTGCTTCATGCACACCCCACACTAGGGATCAAGCCTACAACCCAGGCATGTGCTCTGACTGGGAATTGAACTGTCACCTCCTGGTTCCTAGGTCGATGCCCAACCACTGAGCCATATTTTTCTTTAAAAATATTTTATAATTTTGGCTCATATTTTTCTTTAAAAATATTTTATAAAAGAGCCCAGCTGGTGTGTCTCGGTGGTTGAGCATTGACTTATTAACTCAGGAGGTCACAGTTTGATCCCCGGTCAGGGCACATGCCTGGGTTGCTGGGTTGATTCCCAGTAGGGGGCGTGCAGGAGGCAGTTGATCAATGATTCTCTCTCATCATTGATGTTTCTTTCTCTCTCTCCTCATTTCCTCTCTGAAATCAATAAAGATATATTGAAAAAAATTATAAAAGAAAAAAACATTAATATTTTAGAGAGACTGTCAGAAGGTAGGGACTAACTGTTTCTTGTAGGCTGGCCAAACACCTCGCATGGACACAAAGCAAGACTACAAATCTCAGCACTGCTCAGGGGAAAGAACAGAATGATTAAACATTTGGGCCAATTTTGGTGATTCTTCTGTTTATAAAAATAGAGTCTAGCCCTGGCCGGATAGCTCAGTTGGTTGGAGCATCATCTGTACACCAAAAGGTTGGGGGTTCAATTCCCAGTCAGGGCACATACCTAGATTCTGGGTTCATTCCCCAGTCAGGGCCAGTATAAGAGGCAACTGACCGATGTTTCTCTCTCACATAGATCTCTCTCTCTCTCCATATATATATGGTTATATATATAGTTATATATAGTTATATATAAAACTATATATATATATGTATGGAGACTTTTGAATATATCAAAGCTCCCAATAGGATAAAATTCATCATTTTGGCAATTTTTGTATTTTGAAGAAAATTTGAGAAATACATGTAAGTCAACTAGTACTTTTTAAGCATCTTGTCAGGAGGGTAACATGCGTTAGCCCTGCAGTGTAATAAAATGTGTACAAGTTTTTTAAAAAAAGGAATCTGTCATCTGGTTAAGAATGTTTTTGCCATTTGTAAAGAATATGCCTTTACTCTTTGGAGTATAATTTGAAATGCCAACATAATTTATTGTTTTTCTGATTAAGATTTAAACCAATGAAAGTAAATGCACCTGCAGGGAAAATGCTGCCACAGCCTGGAAGACCTCCCCGATGCCCTCCAACAAGCGGCTGTTTGGAAAGTCAGACACCTGGAAAGTCTGTTATTAACGCCGTCTTCAAACTGTCATTAGATTTCAATTAACCTAATGCAGCCAAAGACTCCAATTTCTTTTTTCATCACATACTGTACTTCTGTTTTGGACGTTCCCCAAAGAGATGGAAGGATCAGAACTCTGATATCTACACATACCTCCAGGAGGAGTGGGAGGAGGTGCTGGTGGGAACAGTGCAAACTTGACACTGATGACCGGAAAAGTCGTCCTCACTGTCCTAACCTGTTTTCAATTCACTGGCAAACCAGATGTTGTCATGAGTTCTTGTGTTTCTGGTTTTGATTTCGATGAATTCTTCTCTGAGTCTCAATTCTGGTTTTGAAAATGGGGTGCACTTAATACTGTGAGGCAGCTAGTGGGATTTCAGGGAATCACAGCGAACTATTTGCAGAATCGAGCAGAACCAAGATACAAAGCTTCTTATTTACTCTCTTCTACTGTGTAGTTGCGTATCACAGTACAGAACAGTACAATGAAGATACAGTGACTACTTTACTTACATTATTGTAATCCTAGTGGGAGCACACAAAGACTTAAAAAATCAATAGCCATAAAAGAGTCTTCTTGTAAGCTCTTTGCACAAAGGAGCTGCTTCAGCTGCTGCAATAGGTACTCACCACATCCCTGACACTTTAATCCCTGGATGAAAGGGAATAACATCTCTGAGCCATTAAATGTTAAATCTATCTTGGACTCACAGGAATGACTGGCTAGACTCAGTGAAGGATCGGCATGCAGAGTTTGGCACATGAGAGAGATTACAGAGTGGGTCTCACGACTCTGAGACCGTTGACTACCTTGAGCCATCCGGCATAGAAGAAGAATTGTAGGAGAGTAAAGATTGGAATGTAAAGATCTAAGTCATGCCCAGCGTAGCCTTCGGTGGGATCCAAAAACTGGCGTCCAATCAGGCACGCAAAAAAGAAGGTGTAGACAGCCAGAGTGACAACCTGGAATAGAGAGAAACCCAAGTGAGAGCACAGCGCTGGTGGCCCACAGCCAGTGCCAGAGGGAGCAAGCAGAAATAAAAGTCACGTGCACAGCATTTGATACCTGGGTGTAAACCAGCGGGATCCCAACCCAGTCATAACCGAATAAGAGGCTGCACCAAGAGCGGTATCGGTTCATTTCCTGAGTCAGAAACAGATAAAACATGATTTACTAAAATGACGGGTGTTGTAATCAATAGTTAGTAGGATTAGGAATGTGGTCATGTCTTTTGTGACTATATCTGTGAAACAAGGGCACTTTGCAAAGCTAATAAGTTGGTTCTGAACACTACCCCAAAAGGAAAATTCTGAAAATAACAAGCCATGAACATCATTCAACAATGTACTAAAAGAAGTACATTTGAATATATATATATTAAATATTCAGATATTTTAGGACTTTATAGAAGTATCTCCTACTCTATTGAATCCATTAATTTCCAAAATGATGTTGGTCCAAAGTGGTGATGGGAAGGCAGTGGTTAATATTTTAAACTAGAGGCCCAATGCATGAATTCGTGCACCAGTGGGGTCCCCCGTCCTGGCCTGTGGGATCGGGCTGAAACCGGCTCTCTGATACCCCCCATGTGGTCCCCAATTGTGAGAGGGCGAAGGCCAGGCCGAGTACCCCACCAGTGCGCAATTGGGGCCAGGGAGGGCTGCGGGAGGTTGGCCAGCTGGGGAGGGACTGCAGGAGGGCTCCAGGGCATGTTCAGTCTGTCTTGCTCAGTCTCGACTGGCAGGACCCCAGCAGCAAGCTAACCTACATATTATATAGGCTAAGTCATTTCTAGCCATTTTGGTATATTATGTGGAGATATTTTTGTTTGTTTCTCTGTTTTAAAAACATGCTTACCACAGATCTTAGAAAAAAGAAATAAATCTATCCTAACCCTCCACCCCCGCCAAATGAGGTTGCTTATATTGACAGAAAATCTATCTTTCTTTGAAGCAGGAAGGACTGGGATCCATTGACTCCCTCCCCACCCCCCAATTGCACATAAATGATTATCTGAGACTGGAAAGAAGAGTTCACTTTCATTCAGAAGCTATTTTTAAATCATTCACTCCTCTTAGCCTAATCCAGGCAGGAGACTGTCATGGCACAAATCTATCTAGCTCTTACATTAATTTGTTTCTCAGGTGAATTCAGGGTTATTTTGTTGAATAAAAACACAATTTTGTTTCCTGGAGCATCTGAAAAGCTGGCTTAACCTTGAACTATTCCAATTTGGGGAACTGACTGGGGAGGTCATGGAGCCAGGGATGCAAATATGCTGT